AAGTATCTACTGCTGCGACAGCGCAAAGAATACTGCCACTTGATGTCGAGTCTCGCGTTGAAGGTTAGGCTGCCACCAGTTGGGCTGGTTCGCACGGCCAGGCAATTCAGTAAGGATGTCTTGCCAGCCTTGCAAACATTCATTGCGTAAGCTGGCACCAAGCTCTTGGCACTCCGCCAAGTAGCTCCAGAAGGGCCCATGATCGCAAGGAGTTCGCCAGGAAGCGCAAAGCCGCTAACTTTGCTCAGAATGCGCTTTTCCTCCGCAAGTGCTGTGGTGGGCTCACGCCACTACAAAGCATGATGCAACGGCCTCCGTAACACCACCCTTCCTGGCCAGCCTCGCCACCAGATCCACATCCTAGGCACACTTAAGTACACATCCCTCATAGTTCCTGCAACATGCTCTAGGCAGATCTGAAGACTGTCACATGAACACCTCTTGGAGCTCAGCATCGTTCCAGTCTACTCGGACTGTGTTTGGGATCTCGCTTTTGACACTTTTGCTCGAAGGCGTCGCCATGGCGTTGGCGGCAGAGATTTGGTTTTGAGTCTTGATGTACTGCGATGAAACGCGAGTGTGGCCCGCTGGGTTCATGTTGCCACCATTTCCACATAAGGGATCGCAGGATCTGTGCTCCCACTCATGACGCCGAGATTCATGCAAATTTTGGCAGCCCTTCATAGCAACGTAGGTCTCACAGAAATGTACGACTTCGTGGTCGCTTCACGACACCAGCCGAGTGAAACTGCAATTAGGTTTGCAATAAACTGCACTGGCCATCACTGGCCTATTCGGTTCAACTTGCTCCTGATACGGTGGGTCTTGCATGTCCCATGTCCATGTGTCTAGCTGCTCGTTACTGCTCCAAGTGTGGGAACCTGCCATGTATCAGATGAGGAGCTGGAGGCAGCGGTACCTGGCACCAGGCTCAAACAGAATGCTAGCTTCTTCGGCGAAAGCCGGCACACCTGCAGGAGCATCGTGCCAGGCTCCCGCACCTCTGAAACGTTCGCTTCAAAAAAACAAAATTAGAGCTGCACGAGATTCAAGCTCATCTCGATGACTGCCCACCTGCTTTTGGAGTGCCCTGGGTGTGTTCTCTGTCCATGTCGCCACCTGGTGGGACCAAACGCACGTTCCAAACCAGGACATGGAGGCAAACACTTGGGACGACTGTGAAACAGAATCCATTGCTACCACCACCTGCCACCAGCCGAAAACAAGACCACTTCATGCCCCTTGTCCGGCATTGCCCTGTTTGTCATGGTCCTTCGTGTGGCCTGGCCTTCTGCCTTGTGGCACACATGGTTTTTCATTTGGCGAAGCACGACTGAGCACGAATGCAGGCTGACTGTGGTGGATTTGCAGTGTCTGGATACAGGCCCTCGCAAACGGCGAGGATACGAGGCAGCGGGTAACGCATCATTGTCCGTGACATCATGGCTATTCCGTGCGGAGTCGTCGTGGCAGAATCGCATCTTCATCAAGCAGGAAGCGGCTCATCACAGTTTTGATGTGCTGCCGCAGCAAGGACATATAGGGCGTCTACAACATGAAATCACTGCAGGAGTGTTGCAGATTAACATGAGAACAGAAGGTCGGTGTTGGATCGTACCGATGTAATTCATGGTCCTTTACGTGTAACCCACGGTTTCTCCCTGAATGCACCCACAGTTTCACTCGATGTGCAGAGGCAGATCACGACTGCTCGGTTGCAAGGAATTACCTGTCTTTCACCAGCGCCCAGTTGTCTTTGAGGCCATCTCGTGACAGGCTGTCACTCGTGTTGCTCATTGCTCAGGGAGTCCATCCAAAGCACGCTCTTGCATGCGCTGCCTCAGGACGGAAGTGAGATGAGCAGTCTTGACGACAACACCCATTGTGCTTGAGGCCTTCATCACAACACTGACTGCAGCCTGGTTGTCGGACAGCCACACCAGGGCAGATCCAGCTACGAGCACGTCGTACAGCAAGCAAGCACTCATCAGCAGAGGGCCTCAGTGAGGCCGCCTCACCAGGAAAAATTTAATCCCGAAGCTTCCACGAATCCAGGATCCCCTGAGGGACCTTGCATGTTCCGCCACGAGGTTGCCAAGGTGGACAGCTGAAGACCACCGCACCCTATCGCAAATTATTGTGCTCAAAAGCTGCATCTGTGTAGATCACGGTACACGGTTTCGGCGGGGACCACAAGTAGACGACGCGATGAGGCCGACAAAGCAAGGGCCCGAAGACATCGCAGGACCAGGCGATCTGATTCTTGCAATTTAGGGGTATCTCCGTGTTGGCAGGCTGTCAGGGTCGGTCCTGCACAACGAGCCGCTGCACCTGCATATGCAGAGAAGAGCCATTGAGTATTTCCGTATGGTCTCCGGGCAAACGGCCCGACTGCAAAGCCTGATCAATGCATCCCGGACCTTTGCCCGGGCAGAGAGTTTCGGTTGAATGTGGATGGTTGCACCAACATGTGCCGAAGTGACTAAGCAGCAACGGTCAGGAGCGGGCTTGAACACAAGTGAACCCCGTTTTGCGAAACATCAAAGGGTCGCGGACTCGCACAAACAGAACCAACAAACCAGGCATAGTCGTGAACCCGAGATAAACCAAATCTCGGGGACCCGGGCATTGGGAGATGGCGATGGGCGTGTATCACGTGATGACCCTTCAAGTGCATGTCATGCGTAGACCCTGGCAGCATACCAGGGCTGAAGTTCAGGAGCTTGGCCGGTCAATGGCACTGATAGGGATAAGTGATCAACTGAGAACCGGGCCCCTGAATGCCCGTTGCACAGAATGATGGTATGATAAACTGAGCTGGCTGCTGTGGGTCCCCCGAAAGAGACAAGCTGAAGGAACAATGCTAGCTGAGTCTGTCACGTGACCAACATGAAAAGCACTGCAACGCAACGGCGAGTTCACAACCAGGGGCTTCCCGGTCCAGGAAAGGCCAGCAAACCAGAAACTGTGGGCCTGTTGCGAACGCGGGGCTCACTTCAAACATCTTTAACTGCCGCATCCGCCAGGACACCAGCATGCGTGGCCGCGTGAGTTGGGACGGTGTTGCCACACGCGACGAACGCCCTGTCTTGGGGGCTGAGTTCTGGCCAGCAACACATCGCGAGCCACAGCGGCCAAGAACAGCATATTTCACAGGGAGGCAGGGTGCATGTGCAACATGTCGTCGCGAGACAAATGACTCCAGCTTGCAGAGGCACCCGTCGATGGTAGGCGAAATCCAGCGAACCTCAGATGGCCTGATCATTCAGTACCCAAACTTTGAAGCCAAGGCCTAATGACGATCCATGAAGGAGATGCCAGAAAAAACGACTAGCTGACCATAGCGAGGCATCTCGGGCGGACTTGGCTAGGATTACCACAGGCTGAAGAAGGCCTTCCCAACCAAGCTACGGTTTGACACGAACTTCCGGCTGGTTTGGAGAAGAGCCGTCTCCATTCCCCAATTCCAGTATGGCATGCCTCAGGTGGGGCCTTCGCGCGCTTTTGGAACAATAATGACTTGACAGCTGATGACGACGAAGAGCTGGCTCTTGGCAGGGACCCAAGAGCCTAGTGTAGGCAAATCTCGATGCAAACGTGCTGTTGGTCGGTGCTTTACCTTCATATAGGGCTCTCCGAAACGGAATCGGCATTGTTGGTGCCCTCTTGGCCAACATGAGGTCTGCGTGTTTGATGACTTTGGTCTTGCACTTGGCACCAAAAGATATGGATTCAACTGCATCACTACCATCACCATGGAACGCTGAATGTTGCTGATGTTGATTTAGCGAAGGTCTTCGACTGTGTAGGTGGCCATCCGGGATGTACCGAAACACGCTGAGATCTTCACCGACGGCCTACATGATGTTGGTGTGATGCTGCCATGGCGATACTGACGTGTCTCAGACCGTGGATAATACTTCATGGTGAGTTCATAGTCGAGCTTCTAGCCGTGCTTCCTGGATCTAGAACACGGTGTCCTTTGTGCCCGACGGGCTAGGCAAGAATCACGCAGTGATGCTGCAAAATGACTGCATCAAAAAGCGACAGCAGTGCTGTTCTGTTCCATTGCCGTCCCGACTATACACGTTGCTCTGTTTCTGTTCGGGTTTGTTGCTGAATCTGTTCATGGTATGATTTGGGGCACTTGCAACAGACAAAGCAAGAAACCTCACCGTTCACGTTCAACACGTTCTTCTCGTGTCGCTCCCACCCGGGTTGCGACATAAACCTCCGCTTCGAAATCAGATTCATATGAGAAGCGACCATCAGGAATCTGCTTGCAATTCCCGAAAGCAAGGGCTGCTGACGACAAGACGCTGATGGCTCTCCTGAGACAGCACCGGCCGGCGTGGCGGTTCCGCCGGCCTGGCACTGTCATTTAGCATAGGGCCTGCACGACTACCCTTTCATTCCTTTTGTGGTCGTCACAGTGAGCCGAGTCACATCTTCAATCGACGCTTGTGGGCTTGAAAGCCGCGATGGGTCGCCTCACTCAGTCGGCAGAGTGTCTGCCATGTCATGCCTGATTAGTGACCACTGCTCTGGCGACTCACAACCATCTGGGAAGGCTGCATAAAACCTGCAAGGCCGGCACGAAAGAACTCTCACGGAACACAACCCTCGAAGCCATTTACAGTGATGGACACAGTTCATGCGCGACGAACGTGTGTTTTCACAGCCAGTGTTTCCGGCTGCAGTGTCGGTTTTTGTGGCGTGGCCTGGTGCCTGCCGTAATCGAAGCTATTCTAAACTTGCAGTCAAACACTTTCCAGCGCATCCCTCCAGCCTCTCAAACAGCCGATGAAACGGCACTCAGTACGGGGAAACGGCATGCAAACCAGGACTTTTGCCCTGCTTCACCGCTTCTTCCGCTGAAGGCATCGGCCGACGGCCGTCCACCTCGCGCTTAAAAGGCAGTCGGATGCCAGGAGCCTCGGGACTGCGCCTGCCTGCCTGCCTCCAATTCGGCATTTAAAGCTCCTTCAGAAAAGGCATGCTCAGATGCTACCCGTGGACCGGCACGGATGGTGCCCGGCCTTCTTCTTCTTTCTGGCGCGCTCTCTGTCCACCTCGACACAAGCCATCTGCCGCACAAACAACCGGAGACGGTACTCTGCGACCGGAGGCACAAGTGAGGCTTGCTTGCCCACGCCCTCTGTTAGCTCCACGCCCTCCAAGTTCACAGCATTTTCCACCTGAGCATGTCACCACAATGCTTGTTCCTCGTGAGCTCCACGCGAACTTCGTCGACACTCCAATCTCAGATGGTCGCCAGGAAATCCAGGAGCGGATCGAAGTCTCTTGCACCTTGGTAGATGAGCTTTTGGCGAAACCTCGGCAAGGAAAATCTAAATGCATGTTCAGCTAACGGCTATTCAGGCATGACTCCTCGGATTGCTGGGGTGCACACTTTTTCTCTTTTTTCACGGCTGGATAGAAAACAAGAGTAGGATAACCTGACACACGCTCACACTGAAAGGGTTCGACCTGTTGTCGGAGTGTTGAAAGGTGTCGGCCTAATGAGCACAACTTGCGAAGAAACAAAGCGACCCGGATTCCCACGTGCATTCATCGCCTGAAACTTGTTCTTCACACTCGTTTTCCTCAGCTTTTACTAGGTCGAGTTCGAGCTAAGCAGGGCACTAAGCAAGAACATCTCAGCATATCCCAGCCGCTGTTGCATCCATCTTTGCCACAACCACGTTCTTGCCCTCAGCCCGGTAGGTCGACCAGGCTCAGCTGGGCACCGCCATTCTGCAGTCAAGTGTCGTGACCGAGACTTTCCACCTAGCCGAGCCCATGAATAGACAGAATGCATTCAGCCTGGGGCACCCCGAACCTTCTGCGCCAGCTGTGTCCAAACTGGTTCCAACTTCTTGCCTGAGACCAGCATTAACCAAGCTAATTGTCCCACACCTGCAACATACGAGCTGGCATGCCACAAGTGCCGGGCAGTGGCCACACCAAGGCCTGCCAACTGCCACTCCAAGTCAAGCTGTGACTGAAGGCGCCGACCCATCTCAGTAGCCAGCGCATAGAACTCGACCTGCCGCTGCACTTCACACTATCGTCTAAACATGGAAACAATGACTCTGGACAGCGAGCCCTCAAATGCTCCAGCCAGGGCTCACCGTGGCCAAACTCGTGCTTTGCATTAACGATCATTAATGATTTGCCCAGCTCAATGAAGGAAACCTTCCGGCTGCACATGCTTTTGGTCGGCTGCCATCGTTTCATACGGGCATTGCCGGCGTCTTTTGTCATCAGGCTTTGCCCGCACAGTCTTCCGATGACACAGTGTCTATGGCTGTCCTTGCTTTGCTGCTGCCCCTCGTAGCCCTTCTCTTTGAGGTCTACGTCCATGTACCGTGGGCTCTGAGATGTGTGGAGAAGGGCGGGAAAGGATGGAAGGGTGGAGAACGCTGGAGGAAGGTGGTGGAGGTTGGAGGTTGAGGAGAGGTCGGGGATTGGTGACAAAACATAGATGTCACCTTTGCCCCGAAAGGCCTAGGGTACAAAGCCCGCGCAGAATCAACCAGAATGCCACCGTGGCGACATGGGTCACACCACCGCGGTGAGCAACCGCCGTGTGGTGGGCAGCCGCTTTTGATTTCAAACCATGCCACGAAGAAGTTAAACACGAACTGTGGGGATGCCATATATAAAACAAGCCGGGATGAAGTGTACGAATCGTACGCACTGATGCGGTAAAAGCATAGCTCAGGCGACAAGTCTCACCCGGCTTCTGCATCATACATGTATGTGCAACTCATTCCACTGCCACTGCAAGGCCCGATACAGCAGCTGCGGGAAAACCCTGCTTCATCGCAACTTGCCCTTAAATGAATCGCAGCTGGGGCACAAAGACATCGTGCTTGGCATTCAGGACAACTTCATCGAAGGTATCACCTCGGAAGTGCTGGACTCCTCATCTTGTGCATCAACCCAGCTCAAGGCGCCTGTCAACACAGTGACGCCTCCTTCAACAGCCTGACAAAGGGGAATCGGAGACCATCGGAGACCGTGACCGGAATGGGATTCTGCGAGTCCTGACTCGGAGGTGCCGCGCTCTTGTAGTACCTCAACCCCGACTCCCCCACCACAGGTTGTCAAAAATTGTCAGAATCTTCCATGCATTTCTCAGTGTTGTGGCACAGGTGTCCCACAGTCCAAGACTTGCATCCATGGTGCGGCTTGGCTTTCTTGGCGAGAATGTCCGCAAGAAAACTCTTAATGGCCTCCAGCGATGGAATTCATCCTTTGGCATGATCGGCTCATTTTGCTTTCCAACCTGCTCCGTCACGTCCTGCAAGGCAAGCGAAGCTTCCGCTGCCGTGGATGCTACGGATTTTAAGGGAAAAGCGGCTGACGGCCTTCAGCACATACTTCTTTTCCTGGTAAAGTACTGAGATCTGCATAGCAGCATCCTCGGCCACTGCAGGTTGATAAAGCCTTGTGTGCTCAGTGCAGTGACAAGCTTGGGAAGCTCGCCGTTTTGGCCCCGAGCACGTCCAGGTCGCTTTCCTCCAACTTCGATCGTGGACTGGTCGCAAAACGCCATGACCTCTAGTCTCTCGAAGAATTCCTGACTAAGCAAACTTGCTGAAGTCGCTCTTCAGCGCGAATGAATTCGCACTGCTGCGATCATGTGCCGACAAGCCTCGCTTCTGCCGCAGCCACCTGCGCCAGCATGATTCATGCCGCTTCACCCAAACGACTTTCTAGCCTAAACCTAACTGTGGCATAAGAGCGCAGGCCAGCCCTCAACAAATGCCTTTCTGACCGGCTTCGGCCGTCGAACCCACAGCGGGTCAACGCATTCCGAGGCCTTCTGCAAAAGGCTTCCCATGTCTTTGCCGGCATCCTCTGTGCCGAAGGTGCCAATGACTGCTCCTTGAAAACCCCTACTTGCCGTTTCTTTGCCAGGCTAGCCACCAGAAACACCCAGGGCGAACATCTGAGTCAGCCACCTTTCGCTCCGATCTCCTGCATCGCCTGGAGGAACACAGCCCGGAAAGCACAACTACGAGCGTCGTCCTGCCGCCACCTCCGTTGAATATTTGTTCGCGGCAAAGGAATCGCCAACCAAAGCGTACGTGCTCTGCCTCAGAGCACGAAAAGAAGAGCACAAAGATAGGCTTCCGAGGGGACTAGTAAAAGAAGCGCACAAAGAGATCTCTTTGCTTGCTTGGGATTCAAGTCTCAGGGGCAAGCGCGCTCTCTCTCCCTCTCGGCCCTCTCTCGGCGAATTGAATTCCTTCCAAGTTTCTTGATCCACCTTGCCAGTCCGGTGTCTGTCCATGAGCCAGCAAATTCCTGAAGCTTCGAGCTGCAAAGACTCCAGGCCTCTGAACCTGTGCCATGAATGCAGTTGCAGCCAGCCGCCGGCAAGTGTCAAGCTTCTTGTCTTCTGGATCCTTCAGAGGGCCTCGAAATTCTAATGTCTCGACGACACAGCCCCGAAAATAGCCAGCAAAGTTCCGCACGCGACATGGAGAGGTAAGCATCCTTCTTGGGATCGGCTGCTTTGGGCAGCCAAACGACGGCAAACCTGACAAACGAAAACACGTCGTCTCCGAACGAACCACGCACAACATGGTCGCTGATGGAGGTGACTCGAGTCTGAAGTCCTTCGAGGTTTTCTCCGGCCTCAGTTTCGAGCCCTTGTAATCTATGAGGCTCTCGGCGGACTTGGCATACGCCTTGCCAGGTATCCAAAAGGTCGTGCGATTGACCCTGACAACCGAGGCTGGTCTGCTGATGCACCTTGGCACGTGCAGATTTCTTCTTCACATGTGCCACCAAAGCCTCAGTTAGCAGCATAAAGTCGTGACCAATGAGAAGAGACCGGACACAATGGGCCGAGAAACGAAAGCATTGTCGTCTAAGGTTTTCTGAATCCAAGCGTTCACCTGCACGACACGGAGAAAACATTCGTGCAAGTCCAGTAGTACGCTCGTCTCCTTGCCTCGGACTCCTTCATTTCCTCCACGGCTGGCTTCTCTCTTTTTCCTAAGCTCGGCTTGCTCTTATACAGATTACCAACACACTCCATTGCACTCCGCTGCATATTCCAAAGGCAATTCATGTGCGAGAAGCTAAGCCATTCTGCGATGCCATCCGCTTCTCGCGGGCCATCGTAGTCAACAGGTTCACCTGAAAAAATGCTTCGACTTTCCAATCGCACCAAAGTGGGCCTGCCCATTCCTGCCTCCTCCTACGAAGTATTTCAATGTCGGATATGATTGCACCTTACAGGTGGCTTGCAAGGATCCGGATCCTTGGATGAGCTTTTGGTTGCCTGGTATTGTGTTGCAAGGGCCGTCTCTGCGGTCGCATCTACCTGAGGCCAAGGAGGAGGACTCCTGGTCCTGGCCCTCGAGACCTGCTCACCTGCTCCAGCCTTGGCCAGCATGGTCTTGGCCCCTTCCATTCCTTGGAACACCACGCGTGCGCAGGCGAGAGTGTGGCTTCCCAACAAAAAGCTCGACGAGGCTCGCAGGGCATCAGCAGCCTGATTGTACTGCGGCTCCAGCTGCTGACAATGGCCGCACCAAGGCCTCCGCACTGTCTTTCCCAAACTTATGCATGGACTGAAACAATTCTCAGCAGGGAACGCATAGAACTCCACCAAAACCCTCTCGTTAGTCTTGATGAAGTCCTGGAAAGTGCCTCTGTGGGCAAGCTGTCTTCGCAGAAGGTGTCTCTGCATGTCTGTGCATCACGTGCTGCATGGAACGTCGACCATTTAGCACGCGGCTGTCGGTGAGAGTTTTCACAGACTCTGGGAAATCTTCGTCATCCTCCTCGTCCTGCAGCCATGGCACGAGCATGCTAGCAGCAAATCTCCCTCTGCTTGGACGATCGCAGTCTGGATTCGCTATTCCCGTCGCAAGCGTTACACAGCTTTGGTACGCTGTGCTTGGCCCAGCAGGGGAACAAAGGCAAGGGCTCCTCATCCACGTCTGCCTGCAGTGTAGAGTGGCGCACTATTGAGCGAATCCTGTCTTCACTGCATCAGGCGCACACGAAGGTCCGAGCCTCGTCTGCAACCTGCCCTGCTACCTTGTTGGCCAAGACACCTTAAATCTGCTCTTTGTGTGCGGCTTTGAGCAGTCTGTGGCAAGGTGCGGAACATCGAGCGCACATGCACACACCGACACACATCAAGACCAGGTTGTCTTGACCAAGAGTCTAAGCAAAAGGAGCAGCAGACTCCATCGTGCAGGGGCCTGTATTTTGTCAAGCAGAAACCACCGCACAGTCGGGACAAGAGCTTCCAGGTCGAAAACATGAGGTGCTGAAAAGCTTCCGCCATGCCGGCGGTGGGCGCAGCGGGCACGCAGCTGGGACACAAAATTGCTGCAGCACCAGCGCTCTACAGCTACATGGCTTCAACATGGAGCATTTCCTTCCCATTCCAATCGCGACAGCGAACGCAGAAGCAACACTGTCTTCCGCACCTCCGCAACTCCGGCAATGATTCGGGCCTGGAAAAAAAGGTCTTCTGGCCTCGGACAAACACAGCACTGTAGAGAGTACATCTGCGTATTTCAGATGTTGCAGGCTTGGGCTACACGCTGAAGTGACGCAAAATGCAAAACTTTTTGCATAGAACCGCCGCGCTGGCTGCGCATTGCAGCTGTGCGCTCTCATTTACTGCAGTTGTCAAGCAACTGCACTGGGTCTCCGGGGATCAAGCCGGCAGTCATGCTTCGCAAGACTGCAAGCCATCCTGGTTCTTTGTCAGATATCGATTGCTTGCACAACGTATTTTGGACTACATCTTATCACACATTATAATCAAACTGCTCTCTCTATCCACTCGCAAACGCAGAACCCATGTACTTGGTGATGTATGGTAAAGCCTGCTTGGCTACATCAAAGCTTGGGTCCAATTGCCGGACTAAGCCTTCACTGATCGATATGGTAAACAGTGTAGAAGCCACGTCACCCTTGAGCAACATTCCGTGCCGCCTCAGCACGGAAGCCAAATAGGACCATCATGTGAAAAAAAATGCGCACAAGAATGCCAGGCACATGTGTGACATTCTTGCTGTGATGCGTCTGTAACGTGAACATGACTTCTCCAAACATGTCTGCCGCATTCAAAGGTCCTTCCTTGTCTATTCGGAAAGGTCCCATGTACCTCGCTTGGGCCGCATATCATGCAAGCAGCAGGCAGAATTGAAAAAAGGAAGCTGCAACTTCCCTGGGTACGAAATCGATGCTATCATGGCATGCATTGGAGCCTGTCGTTGCACACGAGGCACTTGTCCATCGTTTCCTGGATGTCCGCGCGTAACTGCTTGGTGTTGACTACCTGAGCAGACAACCACACAAGTCACAGGCAGAATTGAAAGTTAAGTCAGTGGAGACGCGTGAGTTCCCCTACAGAGAGTAGTCAAGGACTCAAGCTTATTGTCTCCCAAACACAGAAAAAGAATCTCCCCTCGGTTTCAGATTGCAACCTGGGCATGGCAAGTGCTGCGAAAAAATAGAACCGAACAAGCAAGCTGTCGTGCAACACAGGTGCCATTTTCGACTCGTCAAATCTCTGCAAGTATTCAACCACCTTCTCGGTCTGTCCGGAACACAGCGCATGCAAAAAGCGTCCTGTGCAGTCGGGACAATCAACAATTCATCTCTGCCTGGCAAGCCAGAATCGATAGTTTGTCCAGCGATAACTAAGAACGCCGCCAAAAGGGGCCACCGTTCGCTTGTCCAGTGATGTTGCAATTCCAGCATCAAGGACAGTCACGTGGTCATCATTTGTTGAATACAAAATATTTCCGCCATGCAGGTCGCCGTGAACAAAATTGTCTCGAATCATCATCTTCATGCTCATGTCATACAAGATCCTTGAAAGATCACCTGACCAATCGCACATTCACCGAAGGAAGCAGTGGAAGCAAGCTCGGCCTTGAACTTCACGCTTCTTGGACTCCAGGGCGGTCATGGCATCTTGACATGCAGCCTTTGCGTTGTCGAAATCCTCCCGAGGCATTCTATATCTGCGTTTGGAACTTCTGGAACGCATGGACCCTCCTGTTCACAGTTACTTCTTTCACGATACCATGCCATGGTATCAGCTGACTAGCAGTGGCGGATCTACTGGAGCAACGTTCAGCACGAGATAGCACGGACAAATGACTATTTGAAGTCTCGATTTGCCTTCTGGTGACCGGTGACTGAGCCGGTTCCGGGCACTTGCCCCTGCTGTGGGTTCTCTGACGCTGCTCGGGATGGCTCCCTGCTGCGGCGTCGGTCCGCAGCTAGGCTTCTTGCCCATCCCGTTTCCAGGCCAATGACACCGTGTGCTTCTCACAGCACGTTCCAGAAATCGTCTGCTCCTCCTGCGGGCTGGGATGGAAGGAGGTCTCCTTGCCACGGCGGCAGATGTGATTGCTCGTAGGACGGGCTTGACAACGGACTGAACCGTCGTCCGTCCACCTACCGGTATGTGCCGGGAACGCCTCCGCTTGATGTGGCGTACTGAGGTGGCACAGGTGGTCGGCTGAAGTCGAGTCGGAATGGCCAAGAATAGTGACAACACAAACCCGCTCCATGTGCCTCCCACAAACTTCACGAGGTACCGAAAACTGGCCTTTTCGAGCCACTTGAGATTTTATGGGATTTTTGACACCTGCGCTCGACCTGTCTAACCAAAAAAAGCTTGAGAAATGAGAAACAGCGCACACTCGGTTTTTGCGCAAACGACCGGGAAGTACGCTGCTCTGACGCTGTGTCTGCTGTCGCGGTCCGGGCCTTAGGAATGACCCGAAGCCAACAAGCTCTGCTCCAGAAACCAGGTCACTGTTGTTTCGTAGGGCAAAGAACAGGTGACACGAACAGGCAAGGCCTGCAGTAGCTGTTTTTTGACAGTGATTTTCGGATGCGCCTTTCATCCCGTGATGCACTGTTTGACAACGAGCAATGTTGCAGGAATTCTGAGGGTTAAACTTCGACGATTCCGAGAGCTGAAGCTAGTCAATCATGACACTGTCCTCCATGATGTTCGAAATGATTTCGCCATTCTCCCAAGTCTCCACGAGTACTTCGGGGGTTACGAAGTGTGAAGACACTTTCGGAAACCTGTCCGGGAAACAGCATCCAATGCTCACCGACGCAACAATCAAGGCCTGATTCGGTGCTCCCCCTTGAAGTTTCGTGCGAAGCCTGACGTGCTCAGCGCAGCTCCGTCTTTGCAAAGCAGACACAACTCCCTGCGCCAATCCAGCCACGTTGAAGATTGAAAGCTTCCCTGGTGAAGTCCATCTGGGCTTGGATCACTTCATCAAAGTCGCTCCTGCTTTACGCTGGGCACGACGGTGATGGACATACGCTTACCAGATACCATCACGCCTATCAAACGGCATTGTCATGTGCAGGAACTTCTCAGAAAATTCCACGAGCTTCCAGACCTGAAAGCTGAGAGAACTCTGGCACTCGCACGGTCGCAAGGGAAGACATGCACAAACTGCCGCTGGTGGATCAGTGCTCGATGCCACATGCCAAGTTGATTGCGAAGGAACGATGTTCAAGTCCATAAACGCACTGTCAATGACCCCGGGGTGCTGTATCTTCACTGCAACGTCGCGCAGCTGCCCACCTTCTGGCTGATGCATTGGGGTTACAAAGTGCGGAAGCAAATGACGATAGGAAAGATGCGAATCCCTGACTTAATATGCCGTCACACAGCCCACAGCTTTCTGAACAGCTTCGAATCTGGGCCTCTAGTGGAGTTCTTCGATACCTATCATTCCTAGCGGAGACTACACCTCGCTTTGTCTGTGACTCCCTGTGATGACGACCCCGCCCGGATTCGTTGGTTAGGAGCTGGTGGTCATGTGTGGTAGTTCAGCCAGATGCTCACGAAGACGAGCTTCACAGATTCTGTCCCATGGTTTGGTTTGATTCCAGCGGCTCTACGTTGCCCGTGAATTTTTTTTGGGGGGGGTTGTTGCACCAGTCTTCACCCCCACAGGCACTATAGTCACTATAGCATAACCAGAATCAGAATATCAATCTCTGCTGCTTGTGCAGTCTGAGAAGCCTGGTCCGTCCAGTGCATGCTCGGCTTTGAGGCGGGCCCTGTGCACTTGGCCCACGGAACCACTAGCCACGGGCTCTTCCTGACAAAGGAGAAGCAAGTTCGCCGAACAGAATCAGCGCATGACCTCGGGCCTGAAACTCATCGAAAAGCTCATCGACATCCTGAGTGAGCCAAGTTCACAGCCCATCATGGCACCGCTTCATCATTCGCAGCCCTGGCCTTACCCAGCTGGTCCTTCAACATCCTTCGAGACACGACCTTTTTTGCGGGGCTGGTGCTTGCCAAAATCAAGGCGTGCATCACGTGGCCAAAGGGCGCCAGAGTGTGCCGGCGCATCTGCCCTCAGCTTGCTTAGAACCAGAATCACATCCGGCGGGAACATGTCCGGCCGCATGGAAAGCCATTGCCCAAACCTTCAGTCAACAGTGAGAGCCACGAAGGACGTGCTTATTCCACCAAAGCTGAGCTATGACGGTATGCCGCAGGTTCGCTTCTGAAAAGCGGCACCAGCTCTTTGTGTACCTGAGAATGGGTTTGGGACGGTGCTTGAAAACATGTGGGACCAAGTATGCGCGACAAAGTGCTCTGCCGGTTGAAGTTGGGAAAGGCATGATCAAAAGAACCAGAAAAGGAGGCAGCCAAGCAGGGACGGCCGGAAGACCTCATACAGCCTCTAAGTCCGACTCTACCAGAATCCCAACCAGCACATAAGGGAGCGGACTCGAACTGACCATCACTCCAACCCCAGTCTTTTCTGCATGACCGGCCTAATGTTGCCCACCTTCAAGTGATCCAACTGCCCCAGACCCCAGCAGACCTCACACAAGAGAAACAGCAGCTCCACGAGGATCTGCGAACCCCTTGAGCATCACGAGAGACTGCGGCGTACACATGCACTCTGTCCGCACTGGTCAGGGATGTGTACGGGCGCAGGGTAGGAGCCGCATGTCAGCAGCCAGGTCAAACATGTCAACACATGGCTGAAGAAAGCCGGCCGGCCGTCATTGTTGTCAACATCGATCAAGATTCCAGCTTGTTATAAATGACATCCCTAGGCCATACTTGAGTGGACCGAACAAGAAAAGACCGGAGCCTGAACTTCTGTAGCTGGGTAAAAGAAGTATTGGGCAACCTCGAAGGAAAACGGTTTCGTTAGCCGTTAGACCACTGCAACAACGGAGAGACTATGCTCCGACCTGAACAGGGACCAGTCCGAAATCGCCAAGCAGAGGTATATCGAAGTATAACTCTGGCCAGGTTGCATTCCAGCATCTGTTGCAGCCAATATTCCCGCCATGCCCGGCTTTCCTTTCCGAATACCACAAGCAGCGTTGAGGCACCTCGGTCAATCGGTCCACCTCAAGGAATCTGCGTCTGTCGGCTCGGATCCGAGGGTGGGACACATGAACGGAGCGAACACCCAGGCTAAGAAGACCTCAGCAAGCTGCCGGAATCGACATACTCACAGCAAGCCAACAACCGTCAAGCGAAGCGACGGACCGCTTGAGGGCAAACCAGGCTTTCTGATACCAGGGCCAGATTTCATAGGGATGGACGAAGTGACCACTTGGCTCCGGTACTGCAGGCAGTTCAACCTCTTCGACCCGATCCCAACGAGCTGAAAGCAGTCGGTAGCCTTTGTATCCGAGATATGTAGCGACCAAGGACGTGCCAACGGCAGCTTTCAAAGCAGCAGAGCGAGATTCTGGAGGTCGAAGCCTCTGACCATCGCTCCACGTGCTAAATCGATTTCGTCCACCGCACCGGCAGAGATGCCGCTGTCTTGCCAGGCTCGTCGATTGCTTGGCGCCAGGTCTACACCGCTGCACCAGTCGACACAACATGAGGCAGTGGTCTTCATTGCTTTTCCTTTGAGCTTCGAAGCTGCAGCCAATGGGTGCATGAGTCAATTAGCGGGGAAGGGGAATGCGCGAGGATGCATCGCGTCCTGTGCATTCTCTGAGTCATGAAGCTGCGTGCACCGGCAGCTTTTGCATCCCTTCGAACTTAGCAGCAAAGAAGAAGTTCATTTCTCAATCTGATCCAATCTGTACGCATTTTGTGCTCATTGCATATGAACACACAGCTCTGTCCGTTCAGCTTTGTTCGGACGGAAGTCCTGATGGCTTCAGGTTGGTCCCATACTCAGGAGGCCAGGCCGCGGCGTGTATGCCAGTCTTAAACACAAGTTGACTGCAGTGCAAAGCTCACTCGACGCTGATTTGGAGGCCATAAGTCGGTGTGCCTGAGCAGCTGACACGCAACCCGAAGAACCAACAAGGCATCTACTTCATGATTGGCGCACCTGTCTTCGAGTCATACTTCACACCGCCAAGGGCCGAGAATCCTTTTGCGAAGACTTGCTTTACCTCAGTGGCCACCGAAAGTCCGTCCCTTGCACGGACTTGTGCGAGAGGGATCCAAACCAAGGTGCAGAGCAGCTAACTGCCCCGTTGTGATCCAGCTTCACCTCTCCAAAACGCCCCCGCGCGCGATGACAGGCAGACAGTGCGTTCCGCCTTCATGGTCGTGTTCTTGTTGCAGGCATACATCAGGCCAACGGTGTATGCCCTGCGGAAGAAATGTCTCCTTCACTAGCTGTAACCGAAAGCCAGGCCAAGGCTTGAGCGTTTTCTTCCCATACGTGTAGTTGGCGGCCAGCCGCAGATTGTCTGCTGCCTGCTGCCATGTATGGCCTCTAGCAAGGATGCCTCTCGGGCCCGCGCACCTTGTAGTGACAGGATGCTGTGTAGCAAGAGAACTTCTCCTTCGCAAGCAGTGATGCCTGAACACAGACGACTTGCACTTGTCTCGCACAGCACCCGAACACAAGCACTCCCATGTATCCCCTTGCTCTTCAGGTCACGAAGAAGGGGCCATGGAGAACGCGCAGGCCGAAGTCCGGGCACCAGGGTGCCGCAATCTTGGCCCCGAGAGTTGCTGGGCCGCTCCTCGGCGAGGACATGGATTATGTGACCTTTCCGTGACGCCATGTAGTCTGTGCTGGGCCTGTCGTTGACAGCCCCGAACAAACACTGACAAGACTCTGGAATGTGGCTTCTGCGACAGCATCTTGAACACCGATGCCCTTCAGGTCCAGCCCCAACCGTGCATCCTGCTTGCGACAGAAGCAAAGCTCAAGAGACTTCCACGGCATCCACTCACCTTGAGGCCGCTGTAGATAAGGCCTGCTGGGGCCATGTCACGCCAGGCAAAGTCTCAAGAGAACAAGGCCGACATGCCAGACCTGTCTTCGTCTTCGTAACATCACTGAGGTCCGGCTTCAGTTCAATTCGCAGTCCCTTTAGAGCCTCACATAGACGGAACATGGAGCCGAAAGAATCGAAACAACAAACTTCTGCAGCGGAACCTTCTCGGTAGAGCCTTCCAACTTGATGCCACCCTTCTTGTCCATTTCCAGTTTGTCCTGATTCTGCTGTAGCCATTCGCATGCCCTTTGACATGGCTGGCAAAGTGCAATAAGTTCGGGGCGATAACCACGAACGGACAGCCCAAGGGAGCTGGAAGCTTCCACGTAATTTTTGACGGCGTCATCGGAGCCTGCATTCTCGCCCTCCATACTCCCATACCTCAGACTGGGCACTGCTTCGCTACCTTGTCCTGCCCAGGAAGGATGTCCACGGCTGTCGTAACAACAGATCCATGCCAGCTCGTCTTCTGCTTGGCCTGGCTACAGCAAGCTGCGTCACGTGAGAAATCCCAACGAATTGGGGAGGCTTGAGAGCCCGAATTTTACCCAAGTCTCTTCCGGTGTCTCACAAGTCCAGCCTAAGCCTCCGATGAGACATTCGCAAGCATTATATCACCGATCCTTGAAAAGATAGCCCTGCTGGTAGTCGTCGTTCAGAACTTCGTTGGAAGTCCTGCAATGTTGAGGTTCACTGTACACAGGCCCCTCATGCAAGTATGACTTTCTCGGATCGAGCAGTCTTGGGGATGTCGTCAAACTTCACGGGCCCCTGAGCAGGGGCAACGCTTTCAATGTCTTTCAACACCCCCTCGAAACAAAATCGATGCTTGGAACTGGCACAGCTGAGTTCGATTCCATGGCTGATGCGAGGAACAGCCAAAAAGCACAAAATTAAACTCTGAGCCACAGCGCTGCAGTCCACGGCAGTCCATGCGTTTTGCCCTAGTATCCCTCAAAGTGGTTGAACGGTGCCCATGGCGCAGGCGCTGACATCCCCGCCAAGCAATATTCTGGTCGCAAGGATCCTGGCAAACTGATACCGGCCGAACCATAAACTTGGTGTCCGGTGCAACGTCACCAAAGCCTGGGGTACCGAGTTCCACTCATGGGCGCTCTGCCTTGCAGCATTGAAAGCCAGGCAGGCAGTCAGTTCCATGCCTCTCGCATCCTCTCACTCTGGGTCTCTGACCAGGGTGTGGACCTGCTCCCAACCAGAACGTCAACGATTAACTGGTGTTCTGTCGCCGAGATCAGCCGAGCTACGGCTGGTGCCAAAGTCCAGGAGCTGGCCTGAAGATTTTGGACCTCGCATGCTCCTTCCTCCTCACTCTCGAGCGATGCCGGCATGCAACCCGACAAGGAACTGCGAAGCCAAGCACCATGCTTGGTTCGGGTCGCTTGTAAGCTGCCTCCTCAGCGGTAGCGATCAACATCTTACTTTCAATGATGTTCAGTCTGCGAACTTTCTGTCTCAGCACATCTTCCTGCTTCAGATACACGGTCCCAACATGGAAAGCGATGTTCCGATTGCAGACTGCCTGGACCAGGATCTTCCGTTTCCGACCTTCATGTCTCAGAGGCTCCAGCCGAGGTGCTTGGGAGCCTGGCATCACATTAATTGCTGAGCTCCTGTCCCTTCGGGCTCTATCACAGGAGGCGCCAACGTGGTGAAGGCCTCTGGACGACAAGCGCTCAAATGTCGCTCGAGTGGACTTGGCATCAATACTGTTCCCATCCTTGGGCGCTGTTTTTGCCAACCATCTCGCCAGGGCTCGCTGCGATATCCTGCCAGCTCCTGCAACGAGCAATGGAGAAACTGCGACCGAAACTGCCAGGGTGCTACAATCACTCCAACGAGAAAACGAGAACCCGGCGGGCGGTATCCATCCGGGACCAATGATATTGAAACTCTTCCGATCTTGGATTGCGGCCCATAAAATAGCCTCGGTGCGACTCGGGAAAATAGCAGAAAGCCAGCCTTCGCCGTGCAACATGCTCGGACTTGGACGCCACATGTCCTCAATTCAAGGGTTCAGTTCTTCTACGTATACGCTTCTTCGAGAATCTCTCCAAGATAGCGCCACTGCTCGCTGTTGGCAGTCGCAGAAGTGCACGAAAGTGCAGTGGGCATGTCTGGCTCGCGACTTGCGGGCGAAGTTATTGAGTACCCCCCCCCTGTAATCCCGAACCCAATGTAGAAGCCTCTAACCCTAGATAACCTTGAACTGGAATGTTACACGCTAAACACCAAGATCAGAAACTCTTGATCATTGACACCCGGGCCGGGCCCAGGATTTGCGATTGTGCCGGTGGATGCCGCTGGGGTGGCAATGTTGCGGATAAAGTGCGCAACAATAGGGAGAAAGTGCAGAGAGGGAGAGAGGCTTTCGAAGGGCTCCGGGGTCCCGGAACTCGTTCTCGGCGATGTAAGCATCCTCACAATACTGTGCTTTTGACAAGGCTCCCAAAAGTTGTTAAGCAAACCAGGAGTCCGGATCTGCGTCGAACATGTTCATGTAAAGCAAGGCCAGTTCCTGGACATGGAACTGTAGTGGCATCTCTCTCTCCTTTCCGGAATTCCGAAACTGACTTTCCACAAGTGTGTAGTCCGTTGGGTGCTTCGGCTTGCGTAAATTCTTCAGGAAGCGTTCGAACTCCTGCCATGTGATCAGGATGTCTGGAACATGGCAGCCACAGCTTGGCAGTGAACCTGAAAACTCAGAGTTCCATCCCGATTGGTGTCTGCCATCTTGAGGCAATGGTGCAAAACCTTCCGTGCAACAAAGGGGCATGACATGAGGGATCGAATGTTATCGCACTTGCACACGAGAAGCTCAGCACATGCTGTGAAACGAGGTCGACATCTATGTTGCCGCCTGTGTCAAATTGATTTCTGCTCGCGCGTAACTGCCCACCTGTCTGCAGCACTGGTGTCAAGCAAGCGAAATGGCGGCCCTCGTTCAACACCGAGACTACCGCCGACTTGGAAGCCATGGCAGGTGTCAATATGGTCCGGAGCGCCTTGGGCTTTACGATCGTCCAACAAAGAGTAGCAAAAACCATGGTTTACAGAGCCACAGCGGTGCTCTGCTGAGTGCCCTGCTTCAAGGAACTCCGAGCAATTCAATTCATCCAGTGTCATCTCCTGGGACTCGAACAGTGGCAGTTGCCACACGGTGGGATTATGGCAATCACATTGTAACCGGCAAACTTCGCTGATACGTGCAAACATTGTTGAGAGCACGTGCACTTTCCAGACGGAAGTTTGACAACTCGGGGTTCAGCGCTCAAAGACTCTAAAAGCTCAGCAGAGCGGGCTCGGGACAACGCTTCTTGCAATCAAGAGGATTTGCCTTTTTCACCGAAACCAGCCAGTCGGATGCTTTGCATGAAACTGCTTTATGTGCTCTAACGCTGCAACAAACGTAGCTTCTTCGTGCATTAAGGAAATCCGGAAATGAAAGAAACCCGGGCGTTGACCGAAGCCACTTCCAGGGCTTGTGATGACGCCAGTCCTGCTTACCATCTCCAGGCAGTAAATTTGATCTGCCGGTGTTGCTAATGAGATGGCTTTCTTCATCACGAAGCCCTTGATAATGATTCTTGGTAAAGCATGGGCGCCGGATTCTACAAGCGGACAGCGAATGCCTTCGACCCCGGCAAGCTTTGACAAGAGTCGAGCGTTCCTGTCTGCAGTCTGGACAACCTTGTCCACGCAACTTTCCTGACTTGCCCAAGGCGTCAACAAGCTTGCCAGCCAGGCTTGAGATTTGAGAGTTGGGGACTCCACGACAGCATGCAAATGCGAAATCATGTCGTGTGGAACAAAATCGCAAACAATGTAACCTTCATTTTGCCCTGTGTAAGCACACGCAGAGAAACATGAGAACACGGGAACAGCAAGGCCCATCTCTCTGGCTGCGTTACGAAATGAGACGACATCTGTTCGCCCCGTGGTTGCGAGACTGTCCTCTTGCGCAATTATGGAAAGGCCTTGCCCGTGTGCCAACTCCAACAGTGCATCGATCGCAGTTTTGGGGATAAGTCGGCCAGACAGACTCGGGTTCGCCACAACCAAAGCTCTAGGATGCCTTTGCTTCTGCCGCAACTCGAGCAAAGTCTGGCTAAGGTCGGACACGGTCCTGTTCCAGTCGTTGTCATCAACCAAGTAAGACACTCCGAGCTGGCCCATGGAAGCCGACGTTTCCCGATATGCAGGGGGGCCAGGACTTGGTAGCAGTACGACAGCATCCTGGGAAGCCCCTAACAATACTTGCAACAAGGCCCGTGCACTTGGCCAAGAACCAGAAGTCAGAACAATTGAGTCAAGTGAGGTTTCCATGTCGTCACGATGTGTCACGAAGTTGGCCACAGACTCGCGGAATATTGAAGGGCCATTGGCGGTGCCTTCCTGGCGTTGCATGGCGTCTACATACCATCGTGCCCTGCTGTTCGCTTCTGGACTTGCTACCGACACTTCTTTGTCGCCGGCCATCAGGTGAGCCACGACTTCATGTTGGCTCAAAATGGTGCTCACGAACTGCGTGTCAGCAGAATGAAGAGGTATGATCTTCTTAACAGCAAGTCCTTGCGATCCAGCACTCGTCCCTGCGCATAGCACAGCTCTAGCATGTTGAACCACGCGGTGGGTGACGCTTCCACAAGTCCGGCGCTGTTCTCTTGTGTTAATAATGCTGAGCCTCAAACCTTGTCGCCATCCGCAGGAGCCACTGTGAGCAGTAAATAAACAAGCCATGACAACATCAATGCTTTGCGGCCGGGTGTCGGTACCAACCCGCGCAAGCAACCAACAGCAACCACGGATACTACGTCACACTATCCACAACAGCTGCGGCCGTTGAATCGTTGAACAATTGATTCTGCATCTGCACGACTGTCACATACTGTCACTCCATGAAACAATGAACTTGCCGCACCTGGTTGTTGTCCCGGTCCATTCGCTTCCACCTGATTGTTGGCGACTGAAACACGTGACGTGACCGTGAGGTGGTGCGAAACCGCTGCATGCAAACGACCGGGGCACTGACAATGCCAAGGCCCACTGTCTGTGCTGCTGTGGCGTCATGCCCTGTCGCCGGTGTCCGTGCCACGAACGCATTGTTATGCTGTGCTCGGTCCCCGGCTTTCGTCGGTTCGTCATCTTTCCTGACGGACAAGTAGGTTTTGCCGCTCGCTTTCGTCCACGTTGATTTGGGACCCATGCCCCATAGCCGTGGCCAGCCACCTCGGCAGAACTGCTGGTTGACATGTAGCCGCAACCATAATTTCTGATTGGCACTAGTCTGCAACGATGGATCCCGGCCTTTATAGCATCATGCAAGCTGACGCCAGGTAATGCATTGCCATCGGCCACCCTGAAACCCCGCGTTTACGGCGAACGGATCTATGTTGTCGTTGGGTAGAACAATATCAGAAACAAGTCCTGTTGTGCAGCGGCTGTTCACCCATTCGCAAAATGCAAAACATTGTAGGAACATGCGTAAACAACTTTTTACAACTGCCTTAACAACATGTGTTGCATGCGTGGTTCACGGTGCCACGTCAGCACTCATATCCTGAAAGACCTCCGGTCCCAGCACACAGGCTTTCTTAAGAAGTGGGAACGCTGAGTGGGTCTTACAAGGTGCGACCCGCAGCCTCCTACCCACAATCTCTTAGGGCTCCCGAAACAACTCAATCCCTTCAGCGGGAGGTTCCCGTTGTATTAGTTTCTTTTGCGATAAACCGAAACAACATTAAGAACACAGCGAAGCGGAGCGCCGCAAGCAGTTCGAGCGGCATTGCAAACCTCTCGTGCATGCGGTGTGAAAAAAGTTGCAGTTTATTGCGGCTGAATTCGTCAGCCCAGGTGTTGACATGCTAGGAGCGTGACTTGACTTGGTTGCATGCATGCAAAGCATGTGGCCAACTTCAAGAATCACACGCGGCAGGCAATGCGAAACGCCAGTGCTTGGCTTGCGGTGTCTGGCCAACATCGCCACCGTGAGCTGCGCCAGCGTCTCAAGAACGGCGATATGTTCCATTCAATGTTGGCCAGAGACGCGTCAGCTATGACGCATGCCATTACCCTGCGAGCCATGCGAATTGAGTGGACGTGCTGATCCATCCCCAATGCCTATGATGTCACCGTCTGCTCTTGCGCTTGCTGTCGCCATGCAATCCAATATCTGGGATTGTTTTCGAAATGTTATTCGCTCCGATGCGAAGCACTGCGATATCTACGTAATGGCAGCTCTGATAGCTCTGCTTTCGTTGCGCAGGTGCACCTTTTTTTTGTTTTTTCAACACACCTTCGTGCAACAGCGTGAAAAAGATCCAGCCAGGCCCCTGTGCAACCTGCAGTCTACGGCGTCTACAGGGGTACAAGTTTCGCGTCCGGGCCAAAGGCACACGGGGGCGGTGGTTTCAGGAGTTGAGGCGCTGCGGCTGGAGTGCACATCACCACCGTGCGGGCAAGCGGCTGGTGAGCGGTGGGCTGTTTTTTTTTCCACACGCCTTTTTGCGTCCGCGAGGTACAAGAGGTCCCTGTGCAACCAAACCTACGCACTACCGGGCGGCCAGGGGCAGGGGGGTGCTAGCGCGCCTCCGCGAGGAGCTCGTGCAGCTCTGGCCCGGGCCCGTCACCAAGGTCGGCGGCGGGAGGCAACTCAAGCAGGGAGGCAGCGAAAGCGCGCTGCACGGCGACTGCGAGGAGCCCCGACCAGGGCGCTACCCAGGCAGTGATGGCGGCAGCACGTAGCAGCCGGGGGACGGCGGCGGCACGGTGCCGCGCCAGGAGGCGCAGGAATTGCACAACTTCGGTGCTGAACCTGCCGCCAACTTCCGTGCCGACGACAACCCACTCGTCTTCTAGTTTTCGGATGTTTTTGTCGAGCACGTAGTGGTGGAGAGAAACGACCATGTGTCGCGGCCAACGAGCATGACATGCGTTTGCCACTGCAGCCAAGGACGCAATCGACCACAAACAGCTGCAAGCGGCACAAAAAAACATGCAAAAACGGAATGAAGCGTTGCCGCTTGCATGAACGATCCGACGAGGTGGGTACACCTGTACCCACCTAGTCCGCCTACATACAGTTGACAAACAACAACATCTGACCTAAGAACGGTTGCGCATCGGGACAAATCTAGTCAATATTCGAATGCCCAGCAGCTTGGCAAGCATCTTCAACATGGGGAATTCCCCAGCCTCTGTCACAGCCGTGTTGATGAGCTGAGGTTGGAAGCTAAGCGCCCGTGTCGCTCCTGTTTTTGCGTTGGCTTACTGTTGGGGTGGCCCCGTGTGGGACCCGAGGCTGTTGTCACCGACCCCTATGCGTCAGCGTCCTTGGCTCTAACTCTACCGCTGGTCGGCAGGCAAGTGAAACGTATTGCTAGTATGCAAGCAAAGGCTCCGTCGTCGCCCGCTGAACATGCCGATCCAACACGTGATTGTGCTCCCGCACACAGGCTGGCTGGAGCCCGTGGCTTTGCCCCACCACGCCGGCATGGATGGACGCTCGGATTCGGAGCGCATGTAAGGGTACGATGAGGAGCTCCTACCGGACAAGAAGTTGGCCACGTCATCCGACAGCTGTTGTCGGCATGCAGTCCTGGTAGGCTGTGTGGTTGGCCGCTTCCCTGCCGCCGACGCGCAGGGAAAGCATGGCCCACGCAGCCTTGCGAGGCGGAGCTATGCCCCGCTACTTCCGTCAAATTAGCCACCGCGCCATCGGATGGCCGAGCGAGCATAGCTAGAGGCGCATAGAGGCGCATCGCGCTGCGGGGGATCCGTGGGCAACATCGCCACGTTTGGTTTGTTCACGCTGTCAGGTTGCTGGCTGCCGCACCCGACGGGGTGCGGAAACAACCACGAATTTCGCTCGCCTGGCATTGAACTCGGCGGGCGAGCATCTGGCCAGGGTAACGATGGTAACGGACGGTAGGGTTCGGCATTGGTTTTTCGCTCGCGCGGCGCCTAGTCAGGTGCTGTCGGCGCTATCGTGCGCGCATGGCTATCATGCTGTATGACCAGCCGTAAAGCGGCGCCGGCCAAGCTTACCTGAAGGCAGAGCTTATGACGGGCTGTTGCGCCGACTCAGCCTGTATGGCCCTCCAACGTGCGGTCGATGCAGCGGCCCCGCAACCGCTGCTGCGCACCTGCAGTTTCTCCTTCGGCCGCCGGCGTTCAGCTCCGGGTAGGCGGCGCACTTGCGGCGTTCAGCGACGCGCAGGGCGGCTCCGTCATGCGCAGCTGCACAGGGCTGGGGCGAGCCTTCGCGCGACAGCGGCGAAACGAGTGTCGCAGCCAAGAGCCCCGCCAACAGACGTCGCGCCGTTGATGACGAGGCCGGTCGTCGGAGCGAACGTTGGGTGCGGTCGCTAGCCACTGCTGGGGGGACTACCTGCCCATCTGGACCGACGGGCCCCAACGCGCGCAAGAATCGGCGAGAGCTGACGAGCGCTTTCGAAGAACAGGCAGCGCATCAACCCACGCGGCCCAGTATGCGGCAGGCGCACTGCGAGTGACAGGCCTCCGAGGTAACATTGCCTTGGGCAACCCACATCATTTGGGGGAAAACTCAGGCGAAGAAGGGTGTACCGCAGGGATAGGCGTACCTTGCTGCCCTGTGGGGGCGGGAGTGGAGGAGGGCGCAAGCAGGCGGAGGCAAGGCTGGAAAAATCTCGCGCTCTCGAAAGGAAGTGTGCAGTGTTGCCAGCCAGGCCCTCCAAGGCCTAGCTCACCGTCAGCCATTCGGATTGCTGCGCCTTGAACGTCCGGCCTACTCGTCTCGCCCTCCCCATGGAGTATGATTCCGGTTCGCCCTAAATGCCCTCAAGCTCGCCCACGAGCCGGTTTACTGCTTCCGCATAAGCGGGAGAACATCTGCCCACGCAGCCCATGTTAGCGGCCGGTGACACCCGCTCGGAGGCAGAAAAGCGACTCGCCGAGGCCAGCAACGATACCCATTCACCCAGCTGGGACGCTGCAGCGCGGGACAAGAGCTCGTCTCGCCCGTGCATGGGCCTCACGGTGAGCCGCGTGCAGTCGAGGGACGAGAAGGAACGATTTCCCTGCACGTGCGGGCGGTGTCTGTCGTGGTGGGGCCAATGGTGGAGTCGCGGATACGGCTCGGTGCAGTAGCCATGCGAACGGCCGATCGCATGAACAGCGGCACATCTTGCAGAGTACGCACAGGGCATCGCAACTCCACGGTTACGTCGACGGCGTCAAGGGTGGCCCATGCCATTTCCGCGACGTCCGCCGCCACGCTTGTTGCAGTGTCGCCAGATCCACAACCGACACCTTGCCGGCCAAACAGGGACGCCTTCCTCGCCTTCATCACTGAGCGAAAAGACACGGTTCGCGCATGATGCGCGGCGGCGGCGAGCACGCTGTCGGCCACGTGGGGTCCCGTTTCTCGCGGCTCTTTTGCGGAGGATTCTGCAGGAGATCGTCCGCCTTATTGTGGTGGGATGATTCAGGGGCCAACTTAGGCAGGGATACGCGCACGGCCGGGATAGAAGTACTAGTTTGGAGCATTTCATGGTTGAAAAACTTCGGATTTAGGAGATCAACACCCCTACCGTTCATGACATCTACTTTGCTCTTCGGTCGTGTCCTAAGTTTCTTAAACCTGGGGTGTGAACATCTAGTGTGAACACATGCACGAACGGTGGACCCTTAAAAAAAAAACACATTCATTCAGGACGGCATGTTATTATAAAGACCAAACTTAAAGAAAAGTGATACGGAATGGCAGATCACTGCGTACCGCAGTACTCGTAAAGTTATTGGACCAACAGCAGAGCACAATTGTCGTTCAAACCCTCAGAACACAGCCGCCCTTGAAGCCCTGACAACAATCCGACGGACGGCACTTTGTCTTCTCGACGGACCCGAACACGATCTTGCTGGAGCAGGTGTCCCGCCCCCCATTTGCACTTTGCTCATGGCTCAGACTTGCACATGTTCCTGTGCACGCACTCACATGTGAAACATTGCTGCAGGGAGCAGGGCATGACCGGCTGCCGCACAGTTGGATCAGAATGAGCCTGCTACATGACATGTCGCAATGACACACCTATTTGGTCTGCGCTGCCCGCGTGTGCTTTTGCTTTATATAGGCCTTACCTGCCCTATCTTTGCGTGGTAAGCTTTTCCGAAGAATTCAGCAAGCGTTCTTGTGCTATTCTTTTTCGAGTGCTCAACAAATGGCCTTGGTGTGCTCTTACACGAAAGACATCACATCCACACCCTCTTTTGGAATTCTATCCCAGACACGTGCTGGACCATGACATATCACACGCTGGGGCATCAACGCATGGATGTATAATTGAGGTCAGACAAATCATACACAAATTTGGCTCAGGTGCTTCAAACGAAGCGAGCTCGACAAAAAGTTCACACACAAAAACATGGTCAAAACATGTTTTGATTTGCACATTCTCTTTTGCATTTCTAGCATGCAACAGATGCGGCATATACAGCGGAACAGACCCTGTCCCGATCTGGGCTGTGGGGCTTGCAGCGGCGAGGACATCGCGAGCAGCATCCCAAGCATCGGCCTCGCCGGGGCCTTGGTCGCCGACAACGGCCCAGACTGCATCGTCGTGAGCGCGGGTGTACAATTTCTGGAGCAGCCCAGCTTCAGCTTCAAGGCGGTCTGCTGCGTGGGCTTTGACGAAGTCGGGGTGACCAATGGCACGCCCAGAGCCACGAGCCCATGCTGAGCCGGGGGGAGGTCGCAAAACCAGACGTCCGAGCCCAGGGCGTTTAGGCCAGGTGGTGCAGCTCCGCCTGCCGCATTGTAGACTCGCGTTTTGCCCAGGTTTGCTTCCACGCCGGCGCCTCTGTCGAACTCGCCGGTGACGACACGCATCAGCGGTGCTGCGCGTACCGGGACGGTCGTAGAGGTCGTCCAAAGAAGCCGCAAGCCGCTCGTCAGGCCGCAAAGAGGTGCTCGCCGCTACTGTGCGAGCGAGTCGTGTTGGCCAAGCCAAGCCCCGGCACGAGGGGGTCGCCCTGCTCGACGCCCTCAGCTTGCACGATCTCATGCACACGCCCCGCGTCGTCCCACCACAAGTAGGTGGAGGTGCGCACGTACATGCCTCGGGCAAAAGCTACGAGCCACGGGACAGCAGACGCGCTGCCGACGTTGTCATACGCGCTTCGCCCATCCAAAGAGACCGCTTTGACTCTGGCCCGTGGGTACATCGAAGCGGACCTTGAAGGACGCGGCACTTCGACCATCCCCTGCACTTGACGTGCAGCGGAAGGATGCTTTCATCGGCCCGTGCTTTGTGGCGTCTGGCTCTGAAGCCAACTTTGACTGGCTGACTGGCCACGGCCGGGACGATTGGGCTCGGATTTGCTTCGAACCTTGAAACATTCGGGCGCTCAACATCGCGCGTTGACTGCGTGCGGGCGTCTCCGCTCTTGCACTTCGGGACGAAGGCGAACTGCACTCGCAGCTTCCAGGGTACGAACAAGAGCTGCTGGCATTGTGTGGCGCAGGCCCAAAGAACCCCACGGCATGGTTTCCACGAAACACCCCAATTTCTTCAAGGAGAGCTGCCCGGTTGGCCATGCAGGAGTTCATGGCGCGTTGGTCATGAAGTCGACTGACATGGATTGGCTAAGTTTCTCTTGCAGGCAGGGACAAGGCCTTTGGTGGCAAGACGAAGTTGAATGGCATCCTATCGGAGAACGATCCCTGCCACGCAGCACCTCCAGTCTATCTGTGTGGGAAGCAGCAGGCAAGGCAGGTCCAGGAGCAAGTAATGAGAACATCAACGTCAGCCCTGTGAGTGGACATGCCAAAGCCTGCAAGCCAGAGCCTTTTATTTCTGCCTCTAGGCGATATGTCCGACGCAATAACGCGTCTTGTCCTTAGGCGTCAGATGGTGCCAGCAGCCGGCATTGGCATGTCTTTGACTTGAACACCACAGGACAGGGAGCACATTGACGGCATCGCTTCACTGACTGTTAATGTGCTGCAATCTGCAACCTGCGACACGTGAATCTTCAAAATCACTCGAAGGCTCCGTGGCATCAGCATCGATGAGAGGAAGATCTCCTGCGATAGAGGTTTCTAGTAGTAGCTAGTAGCTACAGGTATTGATTATTAGCCAGTAGCCAGTAGGGCTGAACTAGTAGCTGGCAGCTAGCTGCTAATAAGCAGGTACACTACCATCGGCAGGAGGAGCAGGAGCAGAAGCAGCAGTAGTAGCAGTAGCAATAGCAGTAGCAGTGGCGGTTGCAGTAGTGGTGAGGGCAGCGGCAGCGGTAGCAGTAGCAGTCGCAGTAGTAGTACAGTTCTAGTCGTAGTAGTAGTAGTCGTCGTCGTCGTCGTCGTCGTCGCAATCGCCGTTGGCATAGTCGTCGTCGTGGTTGCTGCTCCTGCTGCTCCTGCAGCTGGTGTAGCTGCTGCAGCTGCTGCTGTGGCTGAGAGGAATACGAGAACTCGTCACATGAATGATCTCCCTGCCTCCCGCATAGCAAACCTCATCTGCCGAGTGCCACTTGCAGGGGGCGAAGCAGGACTCGCCCTCGACTCCCGTGGCCTTGCAGGCCTCATCGAGGTGAACTCTGGCCTAGCCTCTCGCAGAAAACACTGGCCAAGGCAACGAGTCCATTTGTACTGAGGCTGGCGGCCGTCTCGCAGTCTTTCCAAGGCAGTGCGGCACCTGAATGTAACTCACACAGCTACTTGATCAGGATCTTCCCTAAGTTACGGATGGCAATGGCGTGTTGATCTTGAGGCTAGAGCCTATAAGTCATGTACAGGCAGCGGAGCAAACCAGCAGTGCTCATCTCACTCTCGACAACTGAGCGTCACGCAGTTACCTGTTGCCTTTCGAGAGCTGCAATCGAACCCGCACTCTCGTGTCAGGTCCACAGCACAAGCCTGGATAGGGTCGCAGCGCAGGAACACGGCCGTGGGTTGACCAGCTGTGGCACGACTGCCCAGTGCTGTGGCCTATGAATCCAATGGATCTTGCACCAACCTCCGAAAGGGTTCGTACGACTAGGGCTCGGCCTTGTTGTCTTTTTGATAGATCGTCGGACACCAGCGATCTTCGCAGCTCGTCTTGCTCTGTGCACAGTCGCCAGCAGTTATGTCACTGAGGAAACGGTCGTCTCGAAAAGTGAACCTTGAGTGCAGAAGCGCTGCGCAAAGGAAAGGAAACGAATGCCAAACCAACTTCTGTGAACATGTCTTTGCTGCTCAATGCTTGTAATTAGTAGAAGATAGGATACAACAAGAATTGCTCAGTGCCCGTACTTGCTGCCGATGTGATGATAATCGAAGAAACCCGAGTGGTGTGCAAGAGGCGGCAAGAAGACACCTGGAATCATAAATAAACAGTTCTGTGACGAACATCGTGTGGGCGAAAAACTAAATCGATTTCGCATGGGAACTACCAGACTTGCACACAAGGTTCGAAAGAAAAACCATGGAGGGACAATACAGGGCTGCGTCGCCAAAATCGTCAAGGCAGCCAAGGCACTCGTGCTTTTCATCCTCAGTGCTGGCTAGGCTTGTGGCACAAATGGGCCCAGGCGCAAGGCATCCAGGGTCGCTGTGGCGGATGCTGGCTCCGAGGGCTGCATACCAACACAGACTACGTGAGTTGTGTGTGTGTGTGTGAGTGTGAGTGTGAGTGTGTGTGTGAGTGTGTG